TTCCTGGAAGGTTAAGACACGGATAGCCGTAATGTATTAGCATATTTTGTTTACAATATTGAAAAGTTATGCAATAGTTTTTCAACTAACTTTGTAATATTATTAATTTTCAAAGGTGTGATCATAAGAAACAACACAATTGAACATTATTGTTTCTGCCTAAATCCAATGGCACGAGAGGTTTTTGAGGGATGAATTGAAAACGAGATCTACAAAACAATAATAAGTACTTTGACGCTCACGTTAGTCTCAGATCGAACGGACTTTAGTGTATCGATTTTTCTTTTACATCAGTATACTTTATCATAGGTTGGTCATGCTTCCTTTTAGGCTGGCCTCACTCCATCATAGTTTGATCATGTTCTATCATAGGTCGGTCATACTCTCTCATAGATCTACTCGTTCAATCAGGAGGTCAAAATTTAACACCAACGATTGTAATGAAAACAAACAATTGTTTTTACCATTTTACAAATATATATGTCACTCAATAATTATTGAATCATTTAAAACCAATTATTGAATACCATTCAATAAATATCGTTTTCTATTCAATAAAAATATTAATTTACAACAATTCAAATATCACACTAGATATTTAGTTTGGCGTAAAAACATTTGGACGTTTTTTTTTTACCGACAAACATTTTAACGTTGAAAATTATGTCAACGATCAAATTAATATAACACATCAATAACTTGTCAAATTTAATCATTCACATGTACTATAATTCAAATTTTCAATAATGACTAAAATCTTGGCGTACTTATTGAGAACATGAATAAAATGTAGAAGTAATTTAACATTTATAGTAAAAGTTGAAAAAAAATGTCATCATTGAGAGTACAAATCAAGGACGAAATTTAATTTCTGGTATATACATTGAGATAAATTTTGAAATGGATCCAAAGTAAGCAAAATCCAACAAAGTTTCACAATTTTCTATTTCAACGCCAAAAAAAAGTCCAAATATATGAAATAGTAATCTGTTTTTTTTTTTAAATAAATAAATAAATAAGTTCTGAGAATTCAAATGCAAAATCACAACAATAAACCACCTGTCTATCTGTCCGTAGATGAGGAACAGTGGAATTTACCCAACCAAAAGTTGGGAGTGTAAAATTTGAGTTTTGATGGGTTTTACTTAATTGGATAACTCTCCTTGGTTAGTTGTACAACTGCTGACTTTTGAGATTAACATAAAGTTCATTTACCTCTATTCCACGTATTCATCCTCATCTTTTCTCTTTTCTATTGGGGCCATTGATATATTGATATATTGCGACCAAAGTCCCCTACCAACTAGAAAAGAGGAAGATTCATTACGAGAGATATTAAGTTGCGCATGAGTCGCACGAATCAAGATTATAAATGCAAATCAATAGATCAAACTCCGAAGAGTTGAGCCCGTTTGGAGGAGTGGCACAAGGACCCCGAAGATTGAGGCTGCAAGGACCAGCAGCGCTACTCGGCCTAGAGCCATGACCCACTTAGGTCGATAAGCCTGCAGTATGGGACCCTCGAGCTGGTCAGACAATTCAGGGGCGCCCCTGAGCTCGATGATTCCCTCGATTATTGATTAACTAGAACTTTCAAGTGATCTAGGGACAAAAGAAGAAGATAAATGAGGAGGTAGAGCCTAGCGAAAATTTGTCTATTCTACTAAAGTCAAGTTTATGTATAAGTAAGGATAACTATCTTCAATGGTACGAGACATTTTGGATGAAATCAAAAGTAAAACAACGAGAATTTTGGCTTAAGCAATATCATATTAACTGTAAAAATATAGAAAGATTAATCATCATGGATTAGCTCATTGGTCTAAAAAAACTAAGGTAAATAAAAAGATTTAGAGAGACTGAGTTCAAGTTCCTGATAACCACCCATCTAAGAATTAATCTGCGATGTATTTCTTTACAACCAAATGTAGTAGGGTCTCGTTGTACAACAAAAAAAATAAATTATCAACTTTGAAGTGTAAACTGAGCTATGATAACTCAAAGTATCAGCCATGTAATATAACATCAAAATGATGGAGACATTTGAAGTAATGTCATTCATAAGGTTGCTATCATGGAGAAACATACACTTTTCTACCTACCTCTTTTCATTTCCATACAAAAAATTTGAACAATGGTGAGCTTTTCTTATTGCTAGTGGGATCAGCATTCTTCTTTGATATCATTTGCACTTTAAAAGCACCATTGAAATATCCCCTTTTCCAGTAGTCATCATCTTAATATTTCTCAACCAATTGTCTACTGTTTTCAAACTTGCCCTTTTCAATATCTATAATTTTTTTTTTGTCATAGAGCCTTCTAGCATTATCTAGACCAAGATCTTATGTTAAAAATCAGACCCCCTTTCATCAAGATAAAAGTTGCCTCTAGATGATCACGTCAAAGAAATATTATAGTTAAATTTTCATTGATCACCAAAGTTTAGACTAGTAATTTCAAGACAATAAAGAAATGAAGGACCGTCTTCTTTTCTTTTTGACATTATTTTCTGTAGGGACAATCTTCGCTCTTCTAAGTAGCTCAGATAAAGACGGTGGCACGGTCAGGTCGCATAGGACGTAAGGGAGTTCCGGGACAATTAGGTACCGAATCCGAATTCTAAATCCTGGTCCAAATCTTGGGCCTAACTTTCTCTGTTGTTTCATGGAGTGAGCTCACCTGCAATACATCTTAAAAAGTAGAAGGGGAAGCAATGGATAATAATAGAACTAGAGTCTTGTAGTAGTACAATAGTATAAACTCTATAGTACTTCCTCTCAGATTTCTAGGCTGCAAAGAAAGTTATGAGCATGTGTAGAATAGCCAAGTATGTAGTCGTTTTTGGGTCGTCCCATTCGACATTGAACCTCCATAACTGATATGGGATGATCTAACAATCTGTGTCACGCATCACGCTTTCGTCGACTGTTATGCAAATTTTGTTATGCAAATTTAGTAATCTGACCTGATACCACTTGTCTAGTCATGTCAAAGACTTTCTCACTCAAAAGTTACCCCACAAGGTGGGAGTTTTTCCTTGCATTTTGAAAATCAACATCCAATCCCTTTCATCCAATGTGGGATTCAGATGAAGCCCCTATGCTTTTTCACATTCAATGGAGGTTCTGCTGTTGTGAATGTTACATTTCAACCATATTTTCTATAAGTATAAGGTAAGTTGTTTCCTTCTATGTTTAGAATTCACATGTTATCGCGGTACGATGAGGAAAGTAACATACGTGCGGGAATCGATCATCAAACAGATGAGTAATTCGTCCTGCTGATAAATTATTGATCTAATCTTTAAAGTGTATGTTATTGACTCAGAGTTTGTGGATTTGTACCAGAAAAGAGATTTAAGGCAACACTGATTTTCAATGGGTTAAAAATGGAATGCTTGCCTGAGTTTCAACTTGAAACTCTTATTGTATGTGAATTTGGTTTGGTTGGATCCAAAAAATTTGTCATTCACTTATCTTCAAGATATTTTTCTGATTCCAAAATGTTGGTTCAAATATCAGATCTCTTGTGTGTGGACTGTTAAGTGAAAAGCCAATTTTTTGTAACTTGCCCCTAAACTTGAGAATTTAATGTTTGATAGCTATTACTTGAGTTACCGTCTCATTGCAACATAGAGCTAATTTAGGCCAATGAACTAAACATATCTTGGTCACTAACCTTCTCAAAAGTCAAAATAGGAACACATCAAAAAGTTAACCAAATGAATAGAATTTTGTTGGATACTGTTATAGAAGATATATCTCATGTACTTTTGTTGAAAAAGTTGATTCCTCCAAGTAATAGACTTCAATTCAATGACAGAGGGATTGGAGTTTGAATGTTTCCCTTGAAGACTTTAAAAAAACAAATATATTTCTTTTCTAGTGGAATCTTACCAAACAAGAGTTTGTTAGCTAGATAAGATTGTGACGAGACGACGACTACATATCTACCACGAAACGAGAAATTAACCGATGATGATGCCACTCGTAGTCGAAATGAAACTTTTGCAGAATAAAGTTTGTTGAGTGCAGATTTGTGTTAGAAGTTGATTTCCTTTCCAAGTCTTCTCATTCACACTTGACTTGATAATCAAACTTTGTTCTCTATCTGCAATGTCTTGACACAAGGACTAGAAAAGTAGAGGCTCATATTCAGTCTCAATCTCTATAGCCTTTTTTCCATCATCTGACTTAAACATGGTGCAGACTCATATTCAACAAATCTGCATCAGTACATAGCAACCAACGGGCGGTTTCGATACGTTTCAGTACAAAGTAATTCAAGTTATCTAGTTCAAGAAAGGAAAAGTTGACTAATGATCTAATCTTTAAGCAAAGTTGAGATTTTTTTTCTTCTTTCATTTACAACTAATCTAAATATTTTTTGCAACAGGATTTGGACCTAACTGAGGCAAACAACATGGTATAGCGAGTTTCTCGTCAAGTGGAAGTGAATAATTTAAGTGTAAAGTTTAAAAGTGGAGATAATCATTGTACTAGAATATGATACAAAGAATTTTTATCATCCTCCACTTGGCACATTATCTAGATTGCTAATTCCATATTAATGGTAGGTTAAAAGAAAGATCTAAGTGAAGTTTAACTTTAAATATTGTTGGCATTAGCCTCGTGTGCTGCTTTTGCCAAACACAATTCTATTTATTTAATAGATATTTTTGGATTATGTCTGTGGTAGGGATTGGGTGAAGATATATTCACAAGCTGATGACCGAAAGAAGATCAAACAGAGATTTTATTAGCAAAAAAAAAAAGAAGGTTTTTTAATTGGAAGTGTGTTTCTCAAGATCCAATAGCTAATCAGTTGACCAATGAATTTTGGAGTCATATCATCCCTCATTTGATGTTAAAGAAGTAGTGACTTGTTTGGTGATGATACTAGTTAGGTTATAATATTGTAATATCAAGAAACAAAAACAAAATCATTACCAAACAGGCCCGAGCATTTGGTTTTATCACGAAACATATGTTTTCTTAAAGGCACATTGCACTCTAGTTGCTATGGAAAACCAGTTCCTAACTTGAAAAAGCAGTTCCTAACTTGAAAAAGAGAACTATAATTCATAATGCCTCTTTAGTAGCTGTTACGAATGTGTTTGACGTCTCATATCGATTATACAAGGGGAAGAATGAAGATGATGGTAATATAAGTAGATGACGATGTCTCCATAGGTACGGGGCCTTTTGGATGAAACCAAAAGCAAAATCACGAGGGATTTTTCATTTAGCATTTTTTGATGCATAAAATAGGTAATATAATTCCATGTACCTTTGATAGCTTTCCTGTGAGTTATAAATGAGCTATCCATACCTTCCACACTTAAGGTATATGCTAAATCCGGTCGTATACTATCGAATACTATACGTCAAACAACAGTTAAAACTCAAACTTCTAACGATTTTGAAAATATCTTCCTCTGTACTATGTGACAATTTGTTAAGTTTTGCAATAGGTATAGTGACTGCTTTGACTTGATCCATTGAGAATTTTTCTCAAGAGTCTTTGTATGTACTTGTGTTGATACACTGGTAGTAGTGCTTTCATATGTCCACTTCATGAACACACAACTTTCACTTTCACTTTTTGAAAAAGCTAACAAGTGATCACTTTTAAAGTCACTTTACTTCATTCCCTTTGGGTAAAACCTTCTGATTGTGCCATATATCATCTCATCTGCGTTATCATGTAAAGAGGCAGCCTTTACGTCTACTTTCTCTAGATCTTAATTGAACTCAATAGTTAAGGCCAATAGTCTTTTTGTTGATACATGTTAATAGAATTCCAAGAGTTTCTCATCTCTAAAGTACTCTCTCTTTATCGTACCTCGTTCTAGGCTCCTACTTTTTCTACTGTACACGTTAACAATCGAGGGTCTATCACATATCAAACAATTGAAGAGAATGTTTCATTAGAATCTATACCAATTAGCTTATGATCATTTTGGTTTATGCTTATTGTATCACATATTTACATTACTGGATTCAGTGTGGTGATTAAACTCCAATTCAACCCCCTCTTTTGCCCTGAATTTGTTATTGGAAAAGGAGGCTGAAACTAAAACAATCAAATTGAACAAATGAACAACACCAAGTTGCTCTAAATCTTCCAGACTGATCAGCAACCTTCATGTGCAGTAGGACCAGCTTCTCGAATCAACAGTGATAACGAATTCGAGAGATGCTCTTTTAAACGTGTCATTTCATGAGCTACATCGATCATGCTCGGCCTCAATGAAGGAGTATACTGCGTGCACATGATACCGAGCTCAATCAACTCGAATATAACTTCAAGCTGCAGTTTAGGAGATGATTTTGTGGCGTTTGGCCGTGGTGGGAGACCATATCTTTCCATTGCTTCATTGACTATGTCCATGAGGTCGTGAGGGTAGTGGCTTTTCACCCATTCATGCAAGCCTGCACCTTGTTGAAAAAGAAGATCGGTTGGACGCTTTCCTGTCACAACTTCTAACAGAAGAACTCCAAAACTGAACACATCTCCTTCAGTTGAGGCACGCTCCCCTAATCCGTACTCTGCATTTCAAAAGGCAATATGATTAATTATAACCATGGCCTGATAAACAAAGTAATGTGGTCAATTCAAATAGACTGTGCATTTACCTGGAGCTATGTAGCCAACAGAGCCACGTAACAAGCCATGAGTTGAACTGAAGGAAATGTTGTTAGTTTCTCCCCCAATGATCAGTTTTGAAATTCCGAAATCAGTAACCAGAGCAGTCATGTCGTTGTCAAGAAGAATGTTGCTCGGTTTGATATCACAATGCACCACTCTAACCGGTGAGTTGTGGTGTAAATAGGCCACACCTTCAGCTACATCACTGCAAATACTCACTAGTTGAACCAAATCTGGCCTACGAATGCTCGATCCTAGCTCGTTTGGATAAAGATAGATTTCCAAGCTGCCATTTGACATTAATGGAAGAACAAGAGCATTGAAATCTGGTCTGCTGCAAGTGGTTATGATCCTAATCAAATTTCGGTGCCTTGTTCTCTTCAGCACTTGACATTCTCTTTTGAAGCTCCCTGAGATTTCTCCTGCTGTCCTAATTGGTTTCAAAACCTTGACTGCAATCTTTGTCTTATCTGGTAGTATTCCCTTGTACACTTCTCCAAATCGTCCTGACCCAATCAAGCTTGAAGAGCTCAAACCATCTGTGGCTTCCACCAGTTGTCTATATGAGATTCTTGGATATTTCAGCTCCTTCCTCTCTGTAGTTTGTTGTCCATATTCCTTCCAACTCCTCCGATTCAAAACTGGCAAACGTTTTCCCTTTCTCAACCGGTGTACCAAGGCGATTCCGGTGATGACAAGTATAAGAGCTGCAGATGAACACAAGAGAATTGGCAACAACTTATGAAACTTGTGTTTTTTCCTGCACTTTGGCAAGCCTTTGATGGAGCCACAGAGACCATTGTTTCCAAGGAAAGAAGATATTGTCAGCCATGTAAATGCCCCCTCGTCTGGAACTTCACCTGAAAACTTGTTGAAAGAGAAGTTGAGCTGCTTGGGAGTTGAAGAATTCTGAAGAATGCCAGGAATGCTTCCATTCAATTGGTTGAAAGAAACATCAAGTGTTTGAAGATAAGGCAGTTGGACAATGGAAACTGGTAAAGGCCCATAAAAGGAATTATGAGAGAGATTGAGGTGTTCTAATGCAATGCAGTTCCCAAGTTGGGATGGGATTGGGCCTGAGAGATTGTTCGAGGACAAGTCAATAGCCGGAACCATGTCCATTTTGCTAAGCTCCAATGGCAAAGGCCCATGTAAATGGTTTCTGGAAAGGTTCAAATAAAATTTCATGGTCCTCCCTGCAATTTCACTCGGAATAACACCTGAAATTTGATTGCTAGAAAGGTCCAAAATATCCAAGTTGGTACATTTTCCCAGGCTTGGTGGGATAATGCCTGAGAGATGGTTTCCATTAAGCAACAGTTCTCTCAACTGGGAAAGATTAGCTAAGGCTTCTGGAATAGAACCAGAGAGCTTGTTTCTAGACAAATGAAGAAAACCCAGATGGTGAATTTCCCCAAGAGAAGATGGGATCTCACCGGAGAGTAAATTATTAGAGAGATGAATAACCTCAAGCTTCCTCAATCTGGAAAGCTCAGAAGGAATGGTTCCATTGAGGAGGTTACTAGACAAGTTCAGAATGGTAAGATTTCTAAACTTTGAAATGGAAGGAGGAATTGAGCCATGGATAAGATTATCATTCAAATGAAGCTTTGAGAGATTGACATGAAGATCGCCAATAAACGAAGGTATCTCTCCACCAAGACGGTTGCCTGCTAAATCAATCTCATTCAGTCTTGAAGAATTGAACAAAGATGCAAAAAAAGGCTCAAGATTTGAGTTCCCATCATGGCTAACAAATCCATTTTCAGACAAATCAAGGTCCTCTAAGAATGGCATTTTCATCAAAATCTCAGATGGCAACTCCCCACTTAACTTATTTGACCCCAAATCCAGCCATACCAGATTCGTTGAGTTTGAAAGAGCAGCAGGAACCTGCCCCGCCAAATTGTTAGACCAAAGCATGAATTTCATCAAACACCTCAGCTCACATCCATTTTTTAAAGGTATTCTCCCACTTAAGGAATTGTTTGAGAGGTCTATATACCTCAATGGCGAACTGGACCCATTACAGAACAGCAACTCAGGGATCTCCCCTTCAAGCCTGTTGCTACCCAGATGAAGAAACTCCAATTTATTCAAAAACTGGAGCTCTGCAGGGATTTTTCCTCTCAGAAGATTCCTTTTCAGGCTCAGTTCCTGGAGATTAACAAGAGAACCCAACTCCATGGGAATTTGACCTTCAAAGAAGTTCCCGGACAAATCAAGAGTCGTTAAGGAAGAAAGATTGGAAAGAGATGGAGAAATGGTTCCTCCGAGGGACATGCCAGAAAGATCAATGGAAATCACTTGGTGGGTCGAATTGTTGCATTTAACTCCTGTCCAGTTGCAGAAGTGAAGCTGTGAATTTACACTCCAATTTTGAAGATGGTGTTGTGGGTCAGAAAAAATGCCATTTTTGAAAGAAAGTAATGATGCTCTGTTTTCGTGGTAATGATCCTCAAATTTGGCAGAAGTTTTATCCAACAGAGGAAGAAGGAAACACAAAAAAGAGAACGAGGAGAGCTCGCAAAAACCACCCATTGATAAAAAACTGAAGCTTTTTTTTTTTTTAACCACAGTGGGATTTAGGGAGAGATGAGTTACAGAAGAGGAAATGGTGATTTATTTGAAAGTTTTTTGGGGCCTAACTGCCGTTGACCAGTGGAAACTTATTTGGCGCCAGTGGTGTTTGACTTTGAAATTGACAAATGAGATACTACCACGTGGGGAAAGGAATTTCGCGTTATATTTGCACAGGTGTAGAAATTAATTGATTGATTAAATAATTAATTGTGGTGAGCAGTGAACACATTAATTCAGCACCCAATACGCTATTTAGGTTCTTTTTTAAATGTAAAAGAAGTAAAATTAAAAAAAAAAATTATCGTCGGTATGGTGTAATAAATTCATGAAATTTCAAATTTGTCTCTAATAAATATTTATTATATTTGAATTTATTTTAAAATTTATAGAGCTATTAAATATAAAATTTAAATATTATAGTTTTATAAGACATAAAATTCAAAATTTATAGACTTATTATACATTTTTTTTTCAAATTCAGATACTTATCAAACAATATCTTAATGTAATACAACTGTGAGGTGGAAATTTGAATTTCCACGAAAGTCGATTACGATCCTGAAAGTTTAATACTAAACTTGTAATTTAATCTTAATTTAATTTTAAAAATTATGATGTCTATAATTTGGTTATATCACTTAATAACATTTTACGAATTTACTAAATGTCAACAATTTTTTTACGTAATATATTTTCATTTTTACCAGTTTATCACTTCTTTGCCATATTTATAAACTAATATGTCTATGTGTCAAAAGAAAATATGATCCCGCAAAATATTTTTCAACTTTGAATGATGTTTAAGGATTAGAATAAAACTTTTTAAATTTTAAACTTTGAGCATTAAAATGAAACTAATAGCGAGGGCTGAAATGGTAATTTGTCATGTTTTTAATAATACGAAAAATAGGCACATTTGGATTTTATAAAGATATGGATGGAGTTTGGTAGTGGTATATATGTCGGTTGTACTCATATCTATAAATCATGCATTTGGGTACTCAAAAAAAAAAAATAATAATAATAATAATAATAAAATAAATCATGCATTTGGCTGCTGGCTTCATCAAAATAGTTCCTCATTTCTCTTTCCTTTTCCAATTATGGTCCACTTTAAAATTTTATTTTAAATTCTTTTAAATTTTTCCCTTCTCACCTAAAAAGAATTTGCTTCAAAAGCGATAAGATTGGATATGATTTTTCTATTTCGACAATATTTAATGAAATATAGTTGGTTAAGACATTAGTGATCACTCTTGAAGGTTATAGTCGAAAACTTCAGTCAAATTCGTCTTTTAAATTAGTAAAAGGAAAAAAATAAACAACAACAATAATTAAATAAAGTCTATAAATCAATAAACTTGTTGGTTGAATGGTGATAGATGACGTAATTATAGATTGAATAAAATATTTTAAAAAATAAAGTAAATCAAATTTACGAATAAACAATTTAAGCGTGACAATAAAAGGATGATTATTTACCCCAACATAACTAAATATAATAATAGTAATTACAATGTTTATCAATTTTAATGATATAATTAGATTTAGATTTGGGTTTTGTCAACCAAATCATAATCCCATTAGAAATCTTTTTCTGAATTTCTTGGAAATGGGCTATTGGGTCGGGATGCATTTGCAACTTGTTAGAGTTTAAAAACACCGATTTTTATTTACAAAATAACAATACAAAAAAAGTCCACTCACCAAATTATTTATATTTTCTATGTGAAAATCGTGTGCCCGCGTGGGGTTAAATATGCAAACTGTCGACAGAAAAATTCTCATTATTATTATTTTAAAAAATTGTTTGTGCTTTTTCATCACAAACTAATTATTTTACAAATAAAATTGGTTTAATTCTGCAATCTCCCTCCACATTAGTTCTCACTTATGTCTGCAAGGTTTACCGATGTCTTCTCAAGACCCAAAAAAATAAAAAATAAAAGTCAACGTTAAAGTTTTTTATTTTATTGTATATTTTTAATTTCTTTTTCACACATAATTATTGATGTCAGTCTGAATATAGTTCAATAGATTAAGATACCTATCTCTTAAAACAAAAGCTCGTTCGAATTCTTACCTTCACATATTACACTAAAAATAAATCATATAAATATTTAGTTCATGTTATGAATACTATCAATACAATGTTAGTGCGATATGCTTATCAGTCTAACAAACTTTTTGTTATATCAAGTCAAAATCAAAATTAGTAAAAAAATTTAAAGACAATTAAAAAAAAAACTCTAAGGTTCAAGGACTATGTAGATAATGTATTCAAATTACATGAGCTAAAGTTATTGAACCTAAGTTTATTTATTTGTTTTTAATTTTGAAAATTGTTTTGGATTTTTAATATAATTATAATAGGAGGGAAAAAATTATTAGTGAATAATCTAGTTTTTAAAAAAATAAAACTAAAATAATTATTAAAAAAAAGAGTGGTTATTGAATAGAGCGCCATTTTTTACTTGTTATTGTTAATTTAAAATATTCAAATCCATTACATGAACTTTATTATTATTATTATTATTTTATCCAATTACATGAACTTTAATAAATCCCCAAAAACACGGGTTCATGTATAAGAGAGAAACGGGCCTGTTAATTATTGAATGATTTTCTTTAATTAATATAACCATTAAATTAGAAAAATAAAATAATGCCTGATAATACATGGCATTTGAATCTACAAAGTGGATGAAGCATATTGGGGTATCTGAATAGCCCTCACAAATTAATGGGCCGATCATTCTGGGCCTAAGATTCTATATTATTGCTGTGGGCCTCAACTGACCATATGGGCCTCAGATTGCATGATTTATTTTGAACCTGTCTACAAAATAGCTTTCTATTTCTTAAAATAAAAAAGATTGAGTTATAACTTATAAGTTCGTACCAGGTCTTTCAACTTTAAAATTTGATCCTAAATTTTTAATTATACATTTAATGTATCTTTAAAATTTCAATTCCATATCTAATAAGTTCCAAAACTTTAAAATTCTCTAACAGACAACTTTCAATTTAATAGAAAGTATCTAATAGATCATTTATCTAATAAAATTCTAAATGTTCAATTTTACATCTAATAAGTAAGTATATTTTAACAAATGTGGAATAAGTGAATGAATACTTAAAATTAAGGACTTATTCTATAAAATGGAAAATTTAGCTGTCAGAGTTTTTAAAATTTATGAACCAATTAAATAAAATTAAAAATTTAGACGGTTTTTAGAATTTTTTTTCTTTAAATTTAGAAACTTATCAGACATATTCAAACACAATCAAAATTCAAGAACTAAATCCAAATATTGTAATTAAAAAAATCGAATAATTGCAAATAAGTTTCTTTCTCATAAATAATTTTAAAAAAATGAAATATTACTTTTTTTTTAATATAACATGTAGGGGTGGGAGATCGAACTCACAATCTCTTGAATGAACATTATACTAATTACCGTTTGAACTAGATTCGCTTTGACAAAATATTACTTTTTTTTTTAAAATCATTCAAAAGTGAATAGTGATTAACTTTGGTGAATATTTTATTTCAATGAGCACGATAGCATTAATTTTCTAAGTATTATGGTAGAGATTTTAATGAACACAATAACATTTAAACTGCATTAAAAAGAATATTCAAACTACCAACGTCAGCTTAGCTCAGCATATTAATCCTTTTCCTAAAGATCGGAGCTACTTTCCCCCTTCCCACTTTTTTACTTTTCTTATACCAAGGAATAAATAAATAAATAATCTTCAAATTCTTATAATTAATTTGACAGTTAGAGATTTTTTTGTTTTATTACAAAGATGTTTTAGTAGTACCTTTTTTTCCATATCCAAACAAACAATTTCCCCATTCAATACCAAACTTTTGTACAACGACCTCAGAACTTTTTAAGACTTTACAACTCGCAAGTAAATAAATCAACATCTTATCTCACCTATAAAACGAAGAATTTTTCGACAACTCCAAGAAATAGAATTCACTAACAAGCTCAGCTGAATTTCACTCATGATTGCCCTTCAATACATGTCAAAAATCTAAAATACACGAGCATGACTAAAGTGATTAACTGGGAATGGCTATAAAATTATTTTATAAATGTAGTGCAACCAAACAAACTTATAACAAAATACGGAACATTTTAATATAAAAAGTGTTTTTAGATTTTTATTTTTGGAAGGAAATGTTTAAATTAAAAGGTGTATGAAACTCACCCAAAGAGAGAGTGTTAATACCAACATATCATTTTTTTCCCATACACAATCAATTTATCCATTCAAAACCAAACTTTTAACAACCTTGAAACTTTCTGAAAATTTGCCTCACTTGTCTGATTCATTCTACAACATTTGCATTTGAAGGCTAACTTTCTTCATTCAAAGGTTATGAATTACACTTTACACTTATAAAAGAATTGCATTTGACATCTCATCTCGCTTATAAAACGATAAACTTTTCGACAACACCAAAATACGGAATTCAGTAACAAGCACAACTAAATTTCACTCAAGATTAGAGGCAAATGAGCAACGAGTGCCTTAATACATTTCTGTTAAGGACATGCTCCTGTACTGTCATGTACTGATTTATGTACAGTATAGCATCCGATCTATACATCTTCTTACACATCATATGAACTCAAAATCCACTCTATACCATCTGTTAAAGAAAATCAAAGGCACACTCGATCAGAATCATCAAGGAAACTCACAGTCAAAACCGAAACTTTTGTTAAACTTTGTGGCGGTAGGCTGACAAGATAGAGAGAACACAAGGCTTGATCAAAACCAGAAGTATAGCATTGCCTGTCCATGAATACAAATGGTATTTTTTCAGTAAATTTGTAGCACATTGTATTAATGACAGCATTGGCTAATTCCTCAACCTTTTACATCTTAATGGAAAAGGAAAGGGAAAAGAGAATAGCCTACCTCTTGCAGAATATCAAACATCTTGTTGTCCAGCGAGGGGCGGTGCTTTATTTTCAAACTTTTCATCTCAGATTGAATAGAATTCAGCTGGTCTTGTATGTCCTTCAGCAGTCTCATCTCCTCTGCCCCTACACTTGTAATCTCTTGCCTTGTACTACTTCTATTCCGTTCGAACTGCTCTATTACGCGACAGATTTGTTGAAAAGGTTGAGACTCAGCAACAATTTCATCGATCTGTTGGCGAGCAGGAGTCGTGCCAGAGCCTATAGCTTTTCCTTTCCTTGATTTTGATGATTTGTTCTTGAGGCTTTTGACACTGGAAGCTTTCTTTGCCTTGGCTTGCTCAAGACTTTTAGGAAGCAGTTTGAATGGTTCTATTGGCACTGAATCCAGCTTTCCAATCCTACTTTCGCCTTCAAAAATCAACTTTGGTTCTATTGGTACTGAATCCAGCTTTCCTAGCCTACTCTCGCCTTCAAAAATCAACTTTTTCTGAAGTTGGATCCGACTTTGACAAGCTTTAAGATTCTGGTTCACCTCGGGGATCTCGAAAATATCTTGAATGCTCGACGAACTGCCACATTTCGGGCTTACATCGGGATTAACTCCCCTTGATTCATCAGGGTTATCTTGAATATGCGAAGGGGAAACATCAATCCCACCATTCAAACTTTCAGATTTATCTTCAGCATATCCTTTAAAGTCAGATATCTCTTTGACTTGTTCATCTAACATCTTGATTTGTTCCCACAAACAACTGCTGTCGGGATTTTCCACACTATCAGTATAGCGATCCAGTTTAAGATTCTCAAATGTCTCACTTTCTGCACCATTTTTTAAGAAATACAACTGATCGGGTTGAGTCAGAGGCAGAGATTTTATTCTTCTCAAGCTACTATTTGCACCAATTTCCCTCTTTGGAGCCGAGTCATTTTTTTGAAGCAAAAAGCTGTCTTCAAATTTAAATTCACAAGGACCCAAATCAGAGCCACCTAAGCTCAAGAGTTTATACCTATAAGCTTGGACTTGGTATTCAAGAGAAGCGATTATCATTTCTTTTTGATATATAATGTCTTCAAAACTAGCAAGAGAATCCTCAGTATGGCAAATCTTTTCCTCTGCCATTCTCTGATACTGGCTCGCTTCCATCTTCATAGCAGCTTTCTCTTCTTGCAAACGCAGGATCATCGATAGGGCTTCACTAACTGCAACCGCGGAGGCTTCTCTTTCTTTATCAAGCTCAGCATAAAGCTTCTGCAGAAGCTTTTGCTGAGCTCCAAGTGCTTCTTTTGCAGCTTTTATGTCAATTTCTGGACCACTTTCAGTTTCAGCCATGGAGGCCTGCCTTGGGTACAATACAAGGAGCAATAAGTATCAAATGAATCTACTCTATCAAATAAATATCACCAGAATCTGCATAATCCAAACAACCCCCAATCTCAGACCGAGTCCGATCGATCTAAAATCGTCAGAATCATAAATACAAAAGAAATGGACATCAGAAACAAGTTGCAGAAAAGGGTTTCTAACGATTCCCAGAAACAGGCAAAAGGGGTTTACAAGATTCCAACAGTTTTTGGTTAATGATTTCCCAGAAACAGAGGAAAGGGGGTTTAAAAGTTCCAACGTTTTCGAAACGAACAGGGTAAATGACTAAATGGGGTTTAAAAGGCTTCAATGTTAATTAGAACTAAGATCGCTGCAAAACAGAAAAAAAAAAAAAAAAACCTCCAGGAAAGAGAAGAAGAAGAAGAAGAAGATGAAGATGAACTTACCCGGTAATGAGGACAGGGATTGCAGCGATTTTCGGAGGAAACCGAGTGGAGAAAATGTAGAGAGAGAGATTAAGAAGTTGCCTTAGGGAGAGAAAAATTACAAACAGAAATTGAAGCCAAATCAGAGTCCACACAATCATTCAATGATGGTTCTTTTACATGGACGCTACAGCTCGGCAGGCCCCGAGCGTGGGATTTGCAATAAAATAAAACCGATACCCACGATTAAAAATAATCAAAATAATATATATATATTTGTAAGATTTCGAATTTGGGTTGAAAAGAAATTAGAAATTAAATATTTTATAGAATATATGATTTTGTTTGTACCAACGGCAACGGGCCAACGGCAAAAGTAAGCTTGCCTTTAATCATTTAAAATTGGCAAGCGCCCACGTTTTAGACATCGGATTATGACATGAAAAAAGACTATTTCAAAAAATCATACCAAAATAATTAAGAAATTGGTCGAATTTTGGAAATAATTTGCTAGGAATGGCAATGGGTCGGTACCGATTCTCATATCTTCAAATTTTAGAAAAATTATAATTAGATAATTATGGACCTAACTCAACAAATTAAGACATATTTTCGATTAATACGTCAAAGGTTCAAATTTTCACCTTCATATGTTGTTAAACTAAAAAGAAAGGTTTAATTCTCAAATAGAAATTGACCGTCCAGAGAAATGATTATAAATATTAATGCATGTGATATGTTTTTATTTGTAGAAGTGTAAATTTATGATTGGAATTAGTTAACTTTACCATGATTTTTTTATAGAATAATTTTAAAACTTATTACAGTGAAATTAATATAAATATCGAATGAATGAATAACTTTTTAAGTATTAGTAATATCTAATAAGTTTTATGGGTTGAAAATTTAATATTCATTCTTCATAATAATATACACAATTTTAACAAGTCAATTTAAGTGAAGTTCAATAATAATAATAATAATAATTTTTTTGATAGGATGAAGTTCAATTAATTAAATAATATATTTTCGTTTAAGTCATTAAACATATATGGTAAAGAAGACGGAGATTGAAATCTCCAAAAGACTCCTACCCACATATTTTTTTTAACTTAAATAAAATCTTTGAAATCTTTAAAAGTAAAAGGAGAGAGTGATTTTAGGTGGAAAATAAGCAAAAGGTGCCATCTTGTCTTAAAAAGCAAACGCGATTATGCTTGCGATGTCTAATCCCAATAATAAAATATCAATTTTAATAAAGAGAAAAGTGGAAGGGAAGGATTTCACAATTGAATTTTTAAACCTTATGTTTCCATTTTTAAAGATGTAACAAATGTTACATAACGACTCTTTTAACTCAAACTATCCATGGATCAAATAAATTTTAGAGCAAAATAAGATTTGAGATAGGTATCTAACAATTTTAAAATTGGCATTTTTAGTTCTTGAAATTTGAAACCTTTCTCTAAATAGTTCCTCAACACATTTGACCGTTGTTTATGCAAAGAATTACACAACGATGTATTTGAACCTTGCTCGAACCCGGTCTCTGGCGCGACCTGAACCGTGGAGTGAACTTGCACAAGAGGGCAAACTCTCCGACGATCAAGTCAGTACAGGTCGGACTCAATATTAAGTTCGAGGTGAGATTCGATACCTGAGTGTGAAATGAAGACCTCTATTTATAGGTGGTGGGTCCGACAGTACTCACGACCAGCGGTTACCCTTGTTCTTTTTCACGTCGAACCTGTTGGGTTTGAGCAGATCGAACCCGCCCAGGTCAAACCACGGCTTTTTACACTTAGCCTTGTTTACGGATAAATCCGGTCTCCTCGGCAGGTTTGAGGTGGACCTGGAATACTCTTTTATTTCTAAGCACCACTGAACGTCCTCCACGTGTCCACGATATTTCTATCCCCCAAACAACAGTTAATTTGTTAGTAAAAAGTTCACGTGACAGGTAAATGACTCATTCTACTTTGCTTTTAATATATTTTTCTAGTGATGGGGCTTTGAGGTGCTTCTTCTCTCATTCATTCTTCTCCTTGCGCTCTCGTTTTTCTCTTTATCCAACGAATTTAGCCGCCACCACCTTCCATCTCGTCATTCGCCATTTGCCGACCACCTCCAATCTCGTTGACCGCCCACTATCTTGCCAATCATCGATCGTGCCTCCATCTTGCCAGTCACTCGAGCACCTCCTTATCTTCAGAGAATAAAACCCGCTTGAACGAAAGATTGTTCCTTTGTTCCAAAGGTCATTTCAAATATGGACATTCCAGATCTCAAATGACGATGTCGTTGTGGATGTTCCTCACGACGTTTGAAGCGCCACTCATCCCCACTCGAAATCACTGTCTTTCATTGAAGTGCCATTTGACATTGTCAATCCCCACGACGTCCCCGCTCATCGTGGCTACTACTCACGACGTTTGAAGACCCTCCTATATCTTGTGATTTCCAGATCTGGAACAACCTCTAGAACAAATGATTTCATTCAGTCAAAAGGGTTTTGTTTCCTAAAGGAGGGAGGCGAGGTCGATGACTAACAAGATAGGAGGCGGTCAGCGAGCAACAACAATGGGATGGGAGAAAAGGCAGTGTCAGCGAAGTTCGCCAGATGAGGGAAGAAGGCAAGAGAAGAGAGAAGGAGAGAGGAAGAATGCCAACTCAAAGTCCAATCATACAAAACTACCATTAAATTAATATATTTTGTCTAGTCGGCAAAGTACAATAAGTTGTTGGAATTAATTTAGTAATTAACTCATACGTGGATAACAAATTTAAGAACGATTATATTTGGACTATTTAATGAGCATATAAGTGATCTTGATTATAAACCTATGGCTTCCTAATGTGACCTACTAAGTAAAACCCAGTTCATTAATCTTAGTAAATTATGGGAAACCCCCTGATTAACATATAAATATATATTCCCCGTCAAGTAGAAAGTATAACCCATATTTGGTTCGGGTTGCATAGTTGAGGAAGACCACAAACAACAACTCCTTGTAGGTCATGGTCAATCTATCTAATGGCTTTAGGTATTTCTGAACTCTTTGTATTTAGGTTTTCTTACATGCTTAGATCAATTGTCCTGATTGTTCTTTAATTATATGGCTTTTATTCTAAAATAATCATGAACTAGAATTTCTTTAAATTCTCCAACATTAGCAATTTAACCGCCACGTTAACTTTTAGTTAGTCGTTAAACCAAATCTTCACAATTTTACTTTTAGTTTCACCAACAAGGGCTCATACCAATAGAGATAATTATTATCTTCTATGTAGCTATGATCTTCCCTTTATTTAGCCAATGTGTGATTTTGGTCGCATTTCCAACCATGTAAAAATATTAAAATTGAATAATTACAATTTGTTGATAGTTCAAAATGGCAGTGAGGTAGAAATTGTATTTTTGATATTTAAGAGTTGTTAGTAATATTTTAATTAATTGATCGGCAATATAAGTTGACATAAATATGAATTGAGGATGCAACAAAATGTGCTAAAATTTTATATGAAAAATTAATAATTTCAACATTTATTTGAGCTTAAGATTTAATTTAATATTGAAAGTTTAAAGTTAAAACTAATTCATAAGTACCATGATTACAAGTAAATTAAGAAAATGGTGGTCTTGAAATTTGAAGAGAAGATTTTTCAAAACTCTTTGTTTTTTCTTTTTATATCCAGAGCATTCAAACTGGGTTATGTGCCATTTACTTAATTTTAGAAAAAATATATAATAAGGTTTGTAAATACATGAATTATTCATTTTTATTCTAATTAACTTTAAGATGGAATCAACTATTGGGTAGAATTTTAATTTTCATATCATCGAAAAAATAGAAACTTGTACAAAATACCCCACACGATCCCTAGAGGTGATTACTCAAATTGATAATGATAGTAGGATTCGAAAGAGTTTTCAAAAGGTCGTTATCCGTTGGTGGTGATTGTAACGGCTACATTGCCGCCCAAATTCTCATTTCTGAGCGTGACGCGCGGGCTCCACTTGTGCTGACCAATCCGCGGCGTTTCTTTAAAAAATAAAAAAGATAAAAGGGAATGATATCGGGCCAATAGTTTTCTTTTTATTCTATTTTTTGGTGGCTTTTCGATTAGGATATTTAATTTAATTTAATTTTCTTAATCAGTACGCAAACGTATGAGAAACTTCTAGGAGGGGGGTTATTTTCTCCGCGGTGATGGAGTTCATTAAGACTCGATCCAAATGGAATAGAGATCTCTATTTAATCCGTGAAATGGGTGGAAGAAATTTTTTTCTCTTATCAAATCAGGGATGAGAACGAAGAATATGTTTTACGTTTCTATGTTTATCTCTACTCTATTTATTTTATTTTATTTTTTTATATTATAAACATACTTTTTTTAAAAATTCCTAAACCTAGATATTTGTATGTAAAATTTATGTGATATTGTTGGCTTATGTAAAATTTATGTGATATTGTTGGCTTATAAGACATAATGTCTTATGATCTTTATGTTTTGAGATTTATTTATAATCATGATTTGAATTTAAATTTTATAATTGGTTACTTTTTTTGAATAAATAAGCATTATTAGAAAATTTTATTTTGAACAAAAAAAAAGATCCTCTAAATAAAGATTCGACCTTAGAATTAGCATTCAATTTCAAATTTTATAAAATAAATAAATAATAAGTTTATGATGAGTTCTAGTCGAAATCCTCGCCTTTCCTGCAGAATCCGAGGAATGTAATGGGAGGCGGGAATAAGGACAAGGAAGTCATATTCTTCTCCACTCAGATAACACTCCTACTTCCTATGTTGCAAAATTCACTATTACATAGTGTATTCAATATACCGTCACTAAAATCTGACAATTCTCAGTAGTACTTTCTATAGTTTTAAAAATATTATTATATCTTCAAAAATATTTTTAAGCAAAAAATATTAAATTAAAAACTTGGTATCAAGCCCTTGGTCATAGTTTAAATTGGTTATTGAAGTTTTGAAATTTTTAATTTGATCTTTTATAGTCTAAATTTAGTTTTAACTTTTTTTTTTCTTACATAAATTTAGTTTCAACTTTAATCTCTATGTTTTTAAAGTTTTAATTTAGTTTCTAGTCAAACTTCTCAAATAATCTTCGTTGTTACCATATTTAATACGTGAAATGTATTTTATTTACATGACAATAAGATAATATTTTATAC